GCTCTATCGCTGCCATCATTTGGCGACATACAATCGTTGGAAGAGTTGGTTTGTCCTAAGTGCCAAATAAAACCAACGACCCCATTGTATCGCAAAGCACTTCCAACAACTGCGCTACACGCCTTGAATACGAAAGATTTTTTTGGTTTATACATAAACCCTGACCGATCCATCCTTATTCAGTAGGTATTTCCGAATGCGTCCCAGTTAATTCTTTTCAAGAAAGGCCTTTGAATTTCTAGTAAATTCATGACTTCTGTTTTACTTGTCTGCAGAAAAGGGCACTTCATAGTGCTCGTAAAATACCTTTTTAAGAACTTCTACAGGACAATGATGTAGTTGGAATAAGTGTTATAGGTACCAGAGCAAATGCTGATACTCAGAAACTGCATCGCTTCTCTATACGGCACAGTGTTACCGAAATTTTCTCTGAACGCTGAAAAAGTACACGAGTACTGTTATAGTTAGAGGTACTATGAAATCATTCGGAGTACGCAAATTGGTACCACATTCTGTCTGGAGAAACAAAAGCCCTGACTTAAAATATAGCTCCATTATGTTACGAACAGAATCGAATACATAGCGAATCCCTCAGAGATTAATCAACGTCGAACTCTTTTGCTCTTACCTTTATCAGTACTATGATTCTGATTCCATCCAGTACTCTTAAGGTACGTAAAGTTGCTAAGAGTCCGTATTTAATAGAAAGTTAGTGCAACGACGAGAGCTCTAATACGCTTTTGAGAGGCTGAAGCTCAGGTACTGGCGTGTGTGTTGGTGCAGTTGATACCTCAGCGTATCGACCGCCGCCACCTCCGCCACTGGCTCCGGCTCAGTCCACACGTCCAGTGGCGGCGTTGTTCGGGAATCTCGTCATTTCCGCATTCGTAATAGAATTCCCTCCCCTTCTCCACTCGACATCATCGTCGTCAATTTACTTAACTTTATTATTATATTACCAATTCTGCAGAAGAGGGCACTTCACAGTGGCACTTCATACACTCTCCATATAATCCAATTTGCTACAATCAACGTTACCTAGTGTTTGAACTCAATATGGTCGTTTTTCATTGCTAATGTCAAACTAATGTTGCTTTCCTTATGAAGCTGTTTTATGTTTATTTTACGTTGTTAGCGATGCAGCCACTTATTAACTTGCCCTCTCTCACCACCAACTATATCCGAAGTGTAGATCTTTTTAGGCACAGTATTCTTGTAATAGATACTCTATGTTGTGGAACCATTTCTTACGAGACAATCTGCTGTCGTCTTCATAGTACACTTTATTCATTGCTCACGACATCTCACCTTATGTCTTTCGACAAGTTCGTGGTCGCTTCGCAGCCAAGTATTTCATTTTATCAAGATTGGGAAATAGAAAAGAAATAGAATTGGATGATGTATTTAGTATTTGACCGATAAATACAAAGTTGTCTCACGCAAAAGTTTATATTTTAACGAAATCAAAACGGAAGCTCATTCTCTTCAAAAGCAATCAGGTGGTGAAGGCGTAAAAGATGAACCGTGTGCCGTTGATCATAAGCCATGCATTCAACTTCATTCATACCATTGTAGAACTGATTGAACGCATATTTATGACTGGTTTATATACTAGCTTGCGGTGGCTTATCGATGTGTCAAGTCAGTTTGTCTACCCTTCTAGACAAATCCGGCACAATATTGACGAGTCCGGATGAATGGGAGGCTTTTTTAGCCCAAGGTGAGGGATTGAACCGATGATCATGTTTGCATCTCTGAGGCACCTTTAACTTTTAAACTTTTATATTGCATTTTGCTTTTATTGTCGTAGTTAAACTATCGTCCTTGTTTTTGCCAAATTAGTCGAATCATTGCGGCTCTGAAGAATGGCAGCGAGGTGATAACCGAGTATTTTCTTATAAGAACCTCGTGTTATCCTACCAATGGAACAAGAGAATAAGTACAAAGTATTGGTTAACGGATTCTAAATAGTGTAGTGAGTAGGAAACTCAGTTCATTTGCGTATGAAAGATCTTTTTTTAAACTTGCGTGAGCGGACATCATGTGTTGTGCGCATTCAACTCCTTACATTCTATTCGTTTCCATCTATCATCCACGACGGTCTTCGGAATTGGGTAACTTATTTCAGCTGCTATTGCAGTAACTCCATCTTCTTCACAGATATCTTTGAATGCTGGTCAGTAGGTTCTCTTTTGAATCCCATTATAGCTTTCTTGAGACGTTCACAGACCTTGGCTATGAGCAATCGCCAGCCTTTGTGGGTCGCAGAAAGTTCTTGCCAGACAGGACTAGTACTAATTTGACTATCTCGAAGCGATCGTGAACCGTGCGCAAAAAGATTTCTCTGCCTTTCTCTGCGATTTCTCTCTTTTTTTTCTTTCGTACTTTCCTATGTACTACACCAAAAACCTGTTGAGGTCGGAATATTTCATTTTTCAGAAAGTGTCCGTGTGATGATAGCTGTCTGATGAAAATTCATGTCCTCCTTATGGTCATGTTCTTCTCATCACTCCTTGTCAAATCACGACGAACCAGGAAAAAGTCTTGGTAAGTGCCAACGATGTAAAATTATAATGCTCCTTGGGAAGTTTTCACTTTATATTTTTATTTATTATTTATTTTTTTATTTTATATTCAGTATATTCAGTTTGATATTTAAAATCCTGTCTTCTTTATTATTCACTTTTTGTGGTACTTCGAACTTTTCAAAGTGCTTTTAAAAGCTGTCACCGTAGACACTACTAACACTGTCGTCACTTTCTATTTAGTGCCTACTTTTTTCTAATTTTTACATTTTGATTTATACTACAGCTTCAACTTAATTGGTTTAAATGCCGGTTTGTGCTCTCCAGATCAATCCTCTTGACGGGTGATTGCTAATAGCACCTATAGGTCAATAACACGGCTGAGAGAAGGGCGAAACGAAAGACTTGCATGGTGTGGTGGTGAACGCGTTTGCCCCAGGAAAGAGTAGTATCGTGTTCCCTTCCCAACGCAGACACCAGTGGTTCGGAGTTTTGCAAATATCTCACCATCATTTTAAACTACTAATATTATTCATTATTATAAGCACCAGTCTCTAACATAGGTTTTCCCTAACGTCAAAGTTTACTTCTTACTAATTTGAAGAAATTTGACAATTTGTCGTTGTTTAACTTCGATTTACTGCCTATTATTTTTTCACGTTAGGGTTTTACATGAAATACAGCCACGGCTATGCTAAGATATGAGCAGAACTAGGACCGTTAGGTGAACTTCGACCCCACGATTACCCTTTATGGGTCTTCCGTGTTACTCAGTGCACAATCATGGCCCTTGCTTTGCCTGTCAGCCAGTTTTTTTATTTGTCGCTGATTTTCGACTAACGTTCAGGATATCTTAAGTCGTTAATCCTTGTATTCAACTTTTCAACCATTTGTGATGGATAGAGCTATTTTTGTCAAAACATCTCTTAACTGCTTCCTCTTCATTGTAGTAGAATCATTCCAAAGTAGTTTCTGGTAAAGGATACCATGCATTCGAATCCATTCGTAGCATCATGGAGATAAATGACCTATTAAATGACCTGCAGATGCAAATCGACATTATTTTTTCTATCCTTCCACACAAGTTTGGTACCAATTTGCCAACTCTGGAAGTATGACGGATTTGATTAGTCCGATGCCACCACGTGAGTATTACAGGGCTTCTCTTCCCATCACATTAAACTCGCCATTTTTTGAGTGTAGTGTTGAGAATGTTATAAAGTATTAAATTTCGAGGAAATCCACTGTGTTCTTGATGAACTGAATCTCCATTGTTTCTTTGCGCAGTCTAACTTTCTTCCCGCTTCATTGAGTTCACTGATTATCGTTTCTTTTTCACTGGTAGAAAACGCGACGATTTCATTCGCGCAACGATTTGATAGGAATTTTCCATCAGTACGTATGCCTTTCTCATCCTAATCAAGTTACTTCATTGATGCTAAGATATTTGCAAAATTCCGGACCGCAGGTGTCTGCATTGAGGAACGAACGCGCTATTGTCCTTTCTGTGGAGTAACGCGTTCACCACCACACCATGCAGGTCCTTTGTTTCGTCTGTCTCTCACCTAGGTCTGTCGATCTTTTGCCATCAGCAATCACCTGTCAACGGGTTCGATCTGGGGAGCCCTAATCGGCATTGAAACCGCTAAGCTGAAGCTGTAGTTATAATCACAATCTTAACCGTTTTATTTACTGCCTACTATTTTTAATAGCAGGGTATAATGCGAAATATAACTCAACTTTAATCTCAGCATCGTTGAAGGTATATTTCGCATTATACCATGCCATTAAAAATAGTAGATAGTAAATAAAACGGTTGAGATTATTATCATTATTTTTTATTAATTTGGCCTTTTTCCATTGCTGTAAGCGTTGTAATCGTCGCTGTTCTCATTGCTATGGCTGCTGATGTTGTTACTACTACTTTACTATTACTGTTCTGTTGCCACTGTTGTTTCCGCTTCCGTTATTCTTGTCGTTATCAACTGTTAATATCATTCTTGTTCTTGATGTTAAGGTTATTTTGCATCTTTGTCATCACTAGTACTAAAATTGTAATAACATCAAAAATAATTAAAAAAAGATATTACTATGATAAGGGCATCTGTGAGGTGAGAGGTGATCTGTTTACATACATTTTCGTCGTTGCTTTGACCCTCTAGGCAAAGAGGAACAACCTCACTACCCTTCCGGCAAATCGTTGCGCAGGTATAATATGTATTGAGTCATGAAACTACGAATGGTATTGAATGCATAGTGTGTCCCTAATGGGCCGATTAATATGTGTGCTTTATGCTTTTATCTTTTCATGTAGACGAAAATACTTGATTTCGAAGTTGATCATACGGTTCTGACAAGTTCATTTTAAGCACTGGGAATCACAACTAAATTACGACCATCCTTAAAAAAAATTGCAGCCTTGTCTTTACCGTTTTTCACTCAACGGCTAAAGAAGGTCAATAATGTTAATTTATTATGAGCCCTGAAGATTTCAGTAAACGTACGACATTCGATCGTCATACCATCAACTACCAAGCGTGGAGAGAGCAGATGACAGTATGCGATCTGCTGCAGGAGTACGACGCTGCCGTAAGGCCGTCTGGGCGAACTCCTTACAACAATACCAGTAAGTGATTATATGGCAAAAGTGCTGAAGTTGGTGTGCTACACTCATTGGCAGGATCTCTGCAATTACTGTTGTGCGAGCTTGTTCAATCTATGGCTACACTAAGTTGTTCAACTCCAACGAATGCGTAAACGACCTCTTTGGTCTGTAAGGGCCGAAACAAAAGCACGTGATCACCGCTTATTCCTTCGTTTATGGTCCGATTTTTTGGTACCAAGTTTATCTGGGAGGATAGCAACACTGACTTAGTACATGGATAGGCCATCACAAAATCATCATTATTGGTCAGATATGTATTCTTTCACCTCTAACGGTGGTTATTGAAGTCGAATGCATCCTTTTTCCCTTAGGGATTGTTCAATGCCGAACGCTTTATCTTTTTATTACATACAATAGTTTGTTGCTTTACAGTGACGTAAGGGTGTTGTCGGTTGTCTTACCGGTTATGTACAACACCAACGAGTCAGTCGAATTAAGAATAGTGACATTCTCATCTTCATGGCTAAGCCGAAAAGTAGAGCTGTGGACCTCGACGGGCTTGTATAGAAAGTATTCACAATGTGTTTAACGTTCTGTACTCTACTTACCTACTACTACATCGGCTGAGAAATTGGGAACACGGTTATTTCACGACTTTAGAGATAAATGTTTGTCCAACCAGAAAAGTACTAGCCAGCTAGAGATCTCTAGATCAAATACCCTTTTAAGAGCAGGCAATCTATCTAGTAATCGGATAAGTGAGATCTAAGTTAAGGATGAACGTCGTCATAAAAATATTCAAATCTGCATTTTTCTTATTCTTTTTAAAAAGTGACAGTGTCATTTCTTCCCTTTACAGAAGGACCTGTGATCGTGACGACTAGCTTAAATATACGTTCCATTTCTGCTGTCTCTGAAAAGAACATGGTAAGAATACAACCGTTTCATTACCGACTTATTGATATAGCAACTCTCTTGCTGTAATGTTCTTTGATGAGCAAACAAAAGGTTGTTGTTAGACCATTTATTTACTCATAATAGTGCATTTCGGCGGTTTCACCTTCTTTATAGTCCGGAGTAGGTCGACTTGACACGCAATCTACTCAGCGAAATCCTTTCATAACCTCAGCACAGAAAACTTGACACATAGATTTCCATTCGAATAATAAACAGCTTTTTTAAATACCCACCATTTTGATCGTTGTAAGTCGTCTAGTTAATTGGTGGAAAGCAGCCGCACATAGTCTTACATGGCCGAGGAATATGCCTGGGTCAGGTCATAGAATCAGCCTGGGGTATGGCGCTAGGTCACGCGTGGTCATAATACACTCCTCCTAGCGGTTCATTTTTGCCTTTTTGGAACTTATCCAAAACGTTCCAAAAGTTTTAAGTACTGATTTTACTTCGAAATCTTCCCCGTTATGTCTCTTGTGCGCCCTGTTTGAGTATTCGGTTTAACTTTACCGACCAGATGTTCTTTTATACGGACGCAGAGTGGTCTACCCGTCTCGCCAATGTATTCATCCCCACACGCTCTACGTTTATCTTCAACATTTGTTCTTTACTTTAACGCATTTCTAACGGTCAAAAACAGCACTGCTGTTGAAGTTGTAGTAATAATAATGATATGAATGTGTCGTTTTCTTGTTCAGCAATCGCGAGGTTTTTAAACAGCATTAAACAGCAAACAAACAACAATTTACTTCCATAAAAAACACAAGTTGTTGATTATGTAATTACGGGAGAGTTCTTCGTCTTTTTGTAAGTGTTATTGAAGCGTTTGGCCTAGTAGATTGTATATCAGCATACCCTTCCAGGCTCTGAAGAAGGCGATACTGCCGAAACGTCAGTTAGCGTTGTATTGTATTGTTTTTCTATGGAAGTAAATGTATGCTGTTTAAAAATCTCGCGATTGCTGAACAAGAAAACGACACATTCATATTCCAATGGCGAGGTTAAGAGAAAGTCGATCCTGGGAACTATTACAAGATGTACCAGCAAAATACTTTCGAGTTGTGAAGGAAATAATAACGATAGTAAAAAACTGCAATATTAACAGTTGGTGGCCGTTCGCATGGGCTTTTCTTTAAATAAATCTGTGCCAATAATTTCTTGCCAACACGAATGTGCGTTTTAAGTGCGAAGGGAACCTGTGGGAGACATTCGCCTTGCCTTCTTAAAGACGTATATGTAACGAAATAGTTAAAGCTGGTCTGCAATATAGAAGAAGTCACCTGTTCCAACCAACACACAAGATAAATCCTCCACTCCATTGCTCTGAGATCGTCGTAGTGACGCCAGTGTTGTCTGTGACTACACACTTACTTCATCTATAGCAACAACAAGTTATTGAATACTTCAAATGTACATTCATCCAATTATACGTTGTTTAATACAGTCGGATGTCTGACAAATTTCTAAAGGCCAAGAATGTACAGATTATGAAAATTCTTACTTGATATTCGTGTAAACTATTGCTTCATTAGCTTAGGAATCCTCTTAGAAGTATGAAGCTGAAACAGTATCTAAGGATTTAAGGAGTTCGTGGCTCAATTTCGATTTCGACAGGAATGGTTTGACGACCGTCTACGCTTCATGGATCACCAGGTGTGAACTCTCGGCGGATCAATATTAAAAATGAGAAAATTTTCATTCCAGATACTTAAATGACCCCACCTGTCTTTCCGAAAATCGCGTTAGTCCCAATAGAAATCAAATTTAACTGGTAAATTACTAGTTAGACAAATTTATCCTGTTGCTAAGATGTCATTGATCCTTGAGACTGGTTTATTCCCGGTCGGGCTTCCAGATGAAAATGTGGAATTTCTTGTTACATGGGTGATATGACTGGTGATGGGCTTTTGCTGCACATCAGAGTCCGACAGCCAGAAATACCTTACAGCCTGTCACAACGAGGCGGTAAGCCATTGGGTGATCCACGCTGTGAGAAAAGCTATAGCAAATGTGGCTGAAAATACTCCGTAATAAAAATATTTGTGATTCTTACAGTCAACTATGGTAATTGGTCTTAAATTAGGCAAGTTTTTAGGGTTTAACTGTGTTTTTGTCAGATTGATTGACGTTTTTGATATAAAAGCTGATTTTTCGAAAGAAAGTAATAATTCAAACGTTCGCTTACAGGGTCCAATTTCGCCAGACTATCGTAATTTCGAGTTTATCCATGTTGCCAGGGATCAACGTTTGTGGATTCCTGACACTTTCTTTCAAAACGAAAAAAACGGGTGGTACCACATGCTGGACCAGGTAGTCGCACACTTGCTACATTTTTACGATAATTTAAATAAAAATGATAATAGAAAGGTCTGAGAGGGGTTTTCCAAAGAATTTCCACGAGACCACACTTTAAGCCGTCACCTGGCTAACTTGATCTCCCATCTCTTCGTAGTTTGAAAATCGGTACCGGCCTTGTCTGAGCAAAGCTTCTTGCTTATGGTGAAGAACTCGAAATACCATATCACGGCCATCCTAGAATTCCAGATGGAATCTACTCCATCGGTGTATAGAAACATTCATGAAGGATAAGGCCAACGCTAGCAGCTGCTGAACCCACCCACACAAACCGGTAGACCACCAAGGATCTGTGGGCAACGAATAGAACGACAGTAGTGTTGAAAACCACGCAACGTGTGATATCGAATAATGTAACTATATCAGATAAATAAGTGTCATCTGGTAGTTCTGCTCTTTCGCAACTTCTGCTACATAGCCTTAAAAGCGAAGGAAATCCTCCATTTTCTTCAGTAGCTTCCAAAGTAATCAGCAGTTTCTTCGCTTTGTCGTTTACTGTGCCGCTTAACTGGGTCATTAATTTTATTCTTTAAATCTTCTCTTTCAATCTCCCATCTTTATTTGAGCTTTTTTACTTACTTAAATTACATAGATCGTCAGCATAGTCTGGCATGTGAAATAAAAACTTAGGCATGTGTAGCGCAGTGGTTAGAGTCGTCCTGCAATGCACTTGGAATCGATCCAGCGCCCTAGGTTTCACCATGCCTTTCATTCCTCCAGGGTCGGAAAATTGGTATCAAACTTGCCCGGGAGGATAACAGCACTAACTCGATACATCGGCAGGCCACCACGAGCCATTTCAAAGACCAGATATGCATTAAATCACCTCTAACGTTGCTCAGTGAAGTCGAATTCATGGCGCATCCTTCACTCCTCATCAACGCTGAGAGCTTCATCCTCTACCATTTTTATTAGAAAGCTGATCACTTTTTTAGCATTGAGATTTTTTCACCATTCTTTTAGTGTGCGAGGACAGGTTGTTAATATAATACCTTTCTGGCTTAGATACCTAGATCACTAGTCTTCACATTTCGTATAGGTCCCAGCACTCCTTCTATTTGTTTCGTTCTCTTACAGTCGTTATGCACGGAAGTGATGGGTTTGCGTTCGATCAAATTCTATTTGGAGATTTTTTGCCTTCGCTCGTCAATGAAACTAGAATGCTCGTCGACTGATTTCTCTTGAGTTCCCAAGATAGCCCATGGAGAGCGTTCTGATACTTCCGTAGTTTCCTTATAGGCAACTGCCATTCCTTATCGTTCATATGGAAGTCTAATGCCTTCGAATTCTTTCGCAACGGTAGCATTTCCTGTAAGTGCAACGAATGTGATTAGCTAGCTGACCGCTTGAGGGCGATGTAACGAACCATTTATATTGCTATAAAAGTATTCGTTCACAGTTAAAAGGTAATCGCCATTTTTCATACCCTATTTTCTATTTCACTCATTCTAATTCCGCCACCTCTTTTTTTATTCTAACACCAGTCGATTACATAGATATGTTGTTCACCAGTTTCCTCATCATCTACGCAAAGCTTTTCTGGATTGTTTCGAATCTTTGTTGTCCAATTACAATTCCCCAACAAGGGCTTAATAAATATGAAGTCGAAAACCTTGTGTAAAGCGTCTAATTTGTCTTGGAAGTCGAATAGAAGAATCGTATTAATAAAACGATAAGAAGAACGTGTTAGGCGGAGACCAACCTCTTATAAATGTAAGACGCGACGTTTCGTAGAATCGCAGAGGGGAGTGAATGCGCACTTGGTCCAACCAACGCGATTCCAAAAAAAATCAGAGCAGTGTTTTTATCCTCCCAGTCAAGTGTGGTACTAATTTGTCATCTTGAAGAGATTGGAATCTTGGTAGGCGCGCAGTTCGGTGTCGAACTAGCAAGTACGGGTACGACACTTCTATCCACTGCACTACCATGCATGTTACTGGGAAGTACGAGTTTAATTGACGGATTTTGAAATTTTATGTGCGCATAACTTTATGGCCCAATCGAGTGACTAAATCTTTCTGCATAAATGTTTGAATGCATTGTAAATGCGCGTTAAATGAATGTTTAGATGCAGTGTAGATGGAATTTCAAAATTTGTTGTTTTCGTAAAACTTTCCCATATCGTCTGCTTTCATCTTTTGGCCAAAAATTTGGCTAAAATAGCTTTTTTTTAAAAACTGTTTTTGTTATTATTCAACCGGAACGTGCTTTCACCGACTGCTTTTCTATTCTTCAGGAGAATCGCTTCTTGAAAATTCGTTCAGACGGGAAACTCATCTATGACAGGAGGTGAGTGTTCTCGAGATCTACATCGTTACTTGTTGGTCTTGAACTTCCACGCCACTAAACAATTGCTTGAACTACTGGATCTGGCTTTTTCACTACAATGTAGTTGTGGGTTGTGTTGCAATTCGCTCAAGGATTTCGCATGTGCATTCGAAATGTCTCGAAGAGAATTTGCAACGAGGGCTTCGTAATACATGCGATATTGGCCGGATAACCTTCGATTAAGAAATGTTACCCAAATAAGAAGTTCCGTGAAAAAGTGGAATCAGGATCCTTTTGTTGGGAATGTGAGCTTTCGCATGTTTCGCATGCCCACAATCTGAAATGATGAGTTTGGCTACTTAGCGCCTTTTTTGCATGGGGTTAGGAAATCCGAGCTGCGTTATTTCTGGTTTTTTTCTGATACAAGAAACAATTTTGCTGTATTATCTCCGATAGCATTCTCTTCATGATTGCAATTATATGCTTATGTGTATCCGTTTCGATTGTGCACACTATTAAAACATTGGTGACGACACCTAATTAAAGTTATGTGACGAAACACATGAATTATATATGACTCATTTCTTAGCGAATATGTTAATATTAATATGAATCGTGTAGATATGAAAATTCTGTTTTTTCAATACACTACTTCTCCATAGTCAAAAAAGAATGTTTGTTGATTTATTTTGGGTTACATATCCTTTTAATAGCTTGCGACCTCACCATGGATTAAAGGCTGTTACTGGGTGTCGGCATAGGAGTTCACAGGTGAGGTTCACTTTTAGAAGGGTCCCAATGCTACAAAGAGTATAACCTGTATCACTTGTAACCCCGTTGAACTTTACTACATTTGTTATTGCGATGCATCAGAGCTCTTGCTTGGGCTACTCTCGTTCAGTGAGGGGCAATACTTCCATCTGTGTTTGATCGAGTTGTCTGTTGACTAAGTTGTAAATTGTTACATAGAGACAAAGTTAGCCAGACTTTTTAAGTTATTGCTTACCGCACAATGAAAAATTATTTTAGATTAACACTTCACTTATCGTGTTCTATGCATTTGTCACGTTATCCCATGGATTCGCAGAACTGTGAAATCGCTTTTGCTTCTTGTGAGTTTTTTGTTTGTTTTATTAAAATTTTGGATATAGATACTGACTACCATCTTTGGCCTACATTGAAATTTTCCTATAATCAGTTTCGACTTTCGAGGTCCGTTTGCATTTCTATTCATATAGCATGACTGGTTGTTCATCAACAGTTCCCCAGTGGCCTCGTAGTGCGTGAGTGGTGTTTTTGGCTGTCAAAATGCACGATACAATGGGAATTTATTTTCAATAGATTCTTCTGTGTTGATAGGAGCGTAGAAATTATCACTTGGATATCTACATAAGAACAAGTAGATGCTAGGAATTAGTGCCGCCCAAGAAAAAGCTTGGTTGAAACAGTACAACAACAGCAGAAAAAGCGTTAGTAACTCACTTCAATTTCATATGGTCCTATTCATAACACCAGCGTTAAAATGACTGTGATAGGCTAATAAGTCGGCAATTCTATTATTCGCTGAAAGTGCATCCCACGGCAAGATGTCATTTGCTTAACTTTGTTTTACCCCTTCCGTTGCAAATCTCATCAAATCATTCAGGGTACTACCACATCCTCTACCCTTATTCCGTCTCCACATCTCTTTCACAAGACAACTAAAGTTAGGTGGAAAAACTGATTCGTAACGAAAATTTCTTCTATAAACTTGTTATCAGAGACTCCCACAAGTAGACAAACAGGAACACACACACTCCCACACATCCACACACACGCACAGTCAGAGAATGGCTCCACAATAAGAATTAATTTTTCCGGAATAAAACTAGTGATATGTATTCTTTCTTTGATGAGCTTACACGAGGTTGATAATGATGTTTATTTTCGGCTAACGTTTCGACGTCTTCGTCTTCCTCAGAGCCGATGATCAGAGTCGATGGTCCTCCCTTGTTATTCGTCTCGACGTGGCAGCTTCGCCTTCGTGTCGAGTCAGGCCTTCTTCAGTGAGCCATCTCCTCGAATGAGGCGTCCTTACTCAGTGATGTCCTTTTATACGCGATGCTGATGGTGAATATAATGATAATGTCCGGTGATAACACCTTGTTTTTCTTCCGGACATAATCATCGCGCACATCGTGCAGAAGTCGGTGTTATTATCAGCTAGCACAAAGCGTAGTAACATTTCGAAACCTACTTCCCTTGAACCTCGGTATCACTAATCAATATGTATTCTTTCTTTGATGAGCTTACACGAGGTTGATAATGATGTTTATTTTCGGCTAACGTTTCGACGTGTAAAAAAAGAGCATCACTGAATAAGGATGCCTCATTCGAGATGGTTCACTGAAGAAGACCTGACTCGACACGAAGGGGAAGATGCCACGTCGAGACGAGTAACAAGGGAGGACCATCGACTCTGATCATCGGCTCTGAGGAAGACGTTGATGTCGAAACGTTAGCCGAAAATAAACATCATTATCAACCTCGTGTAAGCTCATCAAAGAAGGAATACATATTGATTAGTGATACCGAGGTTCAACGTAAGTCGGTTTCGAAATAAAACTAGTGAGTTAAACATATGAAAATTGCATAGTACAAATATCTGGAGATTATCATTCACCTATCACGAATGGTAATAAATGCTAGCTGGTTGTGCAGGCTTTTCGGAATAGAAACTCCGAAGAAATTCTATCTGAACCCAGGCGAGTACAGTGTTTCGCTATAAATCCTAATGATTCAACATGTCGTGACCACCCTTCCACCTTGAAAGGAATATAGTAACGGCGGAGTTTTACTCCAACAGTTTTTGCTTCTCACGGCTGGTATCACAGATTAGTAAATCGCTAGAGAACACTAGGGCGGATGTTTTTTTTGTGATAAGAACTATAGTAAAAAGGAGGACAATCATTAGCTTACATCTTTCCAGCTGTAAGTCATGGCATGAAGCACTTTTCGCAGCATATATGGCAATATCGATCTTAATGTATACTAGACCAATACTTCTCCCTTATAGTTATGTTTTCCGGGCGCTATGGAAAGGGTCTTCGGCGTGGCTTACTAATTGTTCTCAACACACACTTCATCAAGATTACATTTTTTGGCATGTTGGAAGCATTCGATGAAGTTCATTTAATTGAACTAGCTAGTTCCAACAACGATGATATAGGAGTCGTGGATGGGTTTTATTCCAGAGGACTTCTGATACATGTATCTAGAGCGTTCAGGTAACATTAAAAACCATTGCAAAAAACAATTATTCAGAATAGGGAGGCTAGGCAGCATTGGTTGCGCTTGAGTCTCTTAGAGAGTTCACCGATTAACTAAGAGAATCAAAACTCGATACTCATCCTTTTCACTCAGTGGTTCTGGTGGGACGACTTTGATTATGCTGCTTAGTGGTAGCCGTCGTTGAAGATCGAAGTTTGATTCCCACCACACCTTCTGCTATGATGAAAATATGAAAATTGTGTGCACAATCTTTGCAAATAGTAGCCAATTTTATGCATTCCAGTTTTATCAAGGTGGGAGAGATCTTTACAAGGTTTAATGTCAGGTGTCAGTAGAGCCTCACTCAGATCATGGAAAGGTTAATATGGTGTATCTTTCTACTTCTGTTCAGCAAGCACGAGGTGCTATTTTATTTCTTTATTTACGCACAAGCTGACGTTTCGACGGATTTCGCCTTCCTCAGAGCCTGGAAGGGTCAACTTGACAGCAATCCATTCGGCCAAACACCTCCACAACCAAACAGAGAAAACGCCAAACCAAGATTTCAATCACATTTAGCATAGCTCTGCACACTCACCGCTTTCTATGAGTCTTCCACTGAGTATGTCGCGTGAAGACCAACCGCATCAATTTCACATGGAAGCGTAATGTGCTCCTCCCATCAAAATAACAGGTTTATAGACTGTCCAATATAGCGCGTGATAACGAGGCATTCCTTCCTGTGGTTCATTTTCAGATTCTTGGAATTAATCCAGAATGCCTCCAGAGTTTTGCGCGCTTGTGTTCTCGATTCTTGCGCGAGGATCGTAACCCTTTACTTCAAAATCTTCTCCGTTATGTTTCTGCGTGCTATGCGTACCTAGTGGAGTACTTGGCTTACGTTTGTCGACTAGGTGTTTTTTTATACGTACGCAGAGTGGTCTACCCGTTTCGCCAACGTATTCGTCCCCGCACGCTTTACAAGAGATCAGATAGACTGTACCCGAACTCATGCAGTCACCCTCTCTACCATTGGGACAAGCTATGCAATTTTGCGTTGCACGTAGACGGTCTTATAGGCGGTTACGAACTAGCTGGCGCCTTAGATTACTCGGTGGTATTTCGATTATCGTTACCGAATTCTCTAGACTGGTCCTTCTTAAACAGCGTTTTATAGCTGCACTTACTTCATTTGAAATGAAGGGCAGTATAAACAGGACCTTGTTGTCGCTAGAGTTATCGTTGGGAACCTGTGTTTCCCTCTACACCTATCTCGAGCTACGGTTTCGTAGCCATTAAAAATGGCTATTTGCCGCGCCAAGTTCCGAGACTCCTCTCTCTGTTGCCTTTCTGTGCACACGCTGGTAGCTGTTCGATACATGTTTCTCACAAGCGCCCTTTTCGTGTGAGAGGGATGAGAGGAGAGGTAATGAACTATGATGTTTTTACTACTTGGCTTTCGATACCACTTCGTAATGTAGCCGTTTTCTGATAGACTAATTTGCACGTTTAGAAATGGAAGCCAGTCTTCTTTTGGTTTTTCTCGGGTGAATTTAATATACTCTGACTGTGTGTTCAACAACTCGAAACATCTGTCGATTTCTTCTTGCGTTGAACAAATGACCAAGCAGTCATTTACATATCTACAGTAGAGTAACGGACCGAGGTCGATTACTGGCGCTTCCACCTTAGACATGAATGTATTGAGCACAGTGATGCGGGACGCCGCGGCTCCCGCACTAATACCGAGGTTCATTAGGATTCCCATTTGCCGGAGTTCGTTAAGCATAATGGAGCAGGTCGCCGTGGGTGCCCCTCCAAGCCCGAGGTTTATAACGATTCATGTGCAGTAAGGGTTACAATCTCGCGCAAGAATCGAGAACACAAGCGCGCAAAACTTTAGAGGCATTCTGGATTAATTCCAAGAATCCGAAAATGAACCGCAGGGAGGAATGCCTCATTATCACGCGTGATATTGGACAGTATACAAACCTGTTATTCTGATGGGAGGGACACATTACGCTTCCATGTGAATTCTGTGCGGTCGGTCTTCACGCGACATACTCAGTGGAAGACTCATAGAAAGCGGTGAGTGTGCAGAGCTATGCTAAATGTGATTGAAATCTTGATTTGGCGTTTTCTCTGTTTGGTTGTGGAGGTGTTTGGCCGAATGGATTGCTGTCAAGTTGACCCTTCCAGGCTCTGAGGAAGGCTAAATCCGTTGAAACGTCAGCTTGTGCGTAAATAAAGAAATAAAATAGCACCTCGTGCTTGCTGAACAGAAGTAGAAAGACATATTCAATCAATGCCGAGGTTAATAGAAAGTCGGACTTGGGAGTTAATATGGTGTGTCGCAAGTAGTAGTGACGAGTGCGTCGTTTCGTTTTGTTGACAGTTATTTTAAATTGTCCAAATCATGTGGAATATTTTGTGAACTAACATTTTCGATTTTTTGGTGACTACCTTCAAAATTTCCGTCCCATGTTGTCTCCACGTTTCACATCTTTCCTCCCTTCTTCTATGTGCTCCCTGGAAACCGTTCGGACGTTTTGAGCAATTACTCCGCTTGTAAGTGAAAGATGGCTGAGGGGTAATGGAGTAATATGTTATAGTTTACATAACCATTTTATACCATGCCATCTAGGAGTGTTGTTTTGAACTTTCATAGAAACGACAAGCCAGATTTTTTTGCCTCCTATCGAGGGAGTTCTATATACTTTGACTAAGTTCGTTCTACAATGCCAGACTATAATGTATAACATTATAATGTATAATGTATAACTTTTTACTTATTGAATATTGTTTTTCTTGGCAGGATATTACGTGAAATACAAGCGCAAAGTTGGTGAGATATTTGCAAAACTCAGACCACTGGCCTGATTCGATTCTGCGATTATCCTTTCCGGTGCCTCGCGTGTGTATTATGGTGCCTCACCGCACCATAATACCAGAACATATTTTCCGTTCTGTTATTGTATAGAGCAAATAATATTGCAATTACCGATGTATCCATTGTAAAACAGTGATTGAAGACAAAGAAATGACCCACTTAAGTTTAACGCAGGACGCTTGAGGCTGGATTTTCGATAACTGACCATAATTTCTTGGTCATTGGAGTACGTAAGGAAGCAGTGTGATGGAGGGCCATCAATAGCTTTAAGTTAACCAAATCAAAAAAACGTTAGTGGCATGTAAACCACAGCAGTAAGAGATGCGCTGCGATATGCAAGTGATCGTTCATTCGAGCCCGCTCTTCGTGATTTGCCAGCTTTGCATTCATCCTAGGCCGGAAAATTGGCCCCACGCTTGTCTGGAACGATAGCAGTACTGCCGTGATAAATCGGTAGGCAATCGAAAGTCATTGTATAGGTCAGATATGTATTCCATCACCTTTAGCGATTCTTCTTGAAGTCGAAACGCATCCTTCAGGGATTGGCCAATGTCGACCGCTTTATCATTTTTTATTTAAGTATTTTGCTTAAACTGGCGAAACTATGTTTTAGACGCCTACACGACCGACGATATTAAATATGAATGGGACGTGGAACCTATCCGAATTCACGATGGAGCTAACGGTGCTCTTCCTAATTTCGATATCGCCACATTCACCAATGGTTCTTGTCATTCGAGAACAAACACAGGTAAACCTAATGGATTTTGCATGGATTTGCTTTATTTACCTACCAAAGCGTTGGACTCCAAATCATTACAAATCGCAACACGATCTATTACTTGGATTCTTGGATACTTGGACGATCCGTCTTCACGAGCAATGCGGACCCCAGCACATATGCCATTCGTTCCTTTCGCTCGCAATCGTAGTCCATGGTTGCTGTCTTGTTCGAGTATGGTAGCGCTTGCGTGTCTCATATCGTGATATGTAAAAGTGAAGGTGCGGGTACAGCTGATTAACTTTGCTTACAAACACGTCCACACATCGTGTAGGTTATCGTCCAAGAGGACGTTTGTAATCTCTTGGAGCCAGCTCTACCGTCTTTTCGTCCATCTGTCGTCGGCTTTCTTCATTATGTGACCGGCCCATCTATGTTTCGCTGTCGATAAATATTCTTCTGGATCTCGAAGATGTCACAGATTTCGAAGGTCAGAGCTTCGCATTCCGGCTCAACATTGAGAGTGCCGGTTATATTTCAGAAGACATGGCTCAAACGCTCTGTGAGTAGTTCGGAGCATTCTTGACGTAGTTGAAGTGTCAAGCCACGTCTCTGCAGCATACCAGAGGGCTAGGAGGACCGCAGAGCCGAAAAGGTGGGCGCAGATTTTCGTGTTCTTCAGTTGGTGGGTGGCTTCTTTGAGAGGGCCGAATGCTGTCCAAGTTGCTCTCTTTCTTCTGTCTACTTCCTCCTTCATGTTGTTTTCCATGTTCGTTGATCGCCTAAGGTGAACGTACGAGGTGGTTTTTGCAATGAGAGAGCCATCCAATTCAATTTTTTCGTCTTCGCACCATGGATTTTTCATGAACTGGGTCTTCTTTCGATCTATGCGAAGTCCGATTTTTTTCCCTGCTTCGTTGAGCTCGTTGATCATCACCTCTGGTTCGCTAGTACTTTTTGAGAAGATGACGATGTCGTCGGCAAAACGAAGGTTTGATAGGAATTTTCCATCAATACGTATGCCTTTCTCATCCCAATCGAGTGACTTCATTATCCACTGCAGTGCGGCACTGAACAGCATTGGCGTTATTGTGTCACCCTGTCGAACCCCTTTTCATATAGGTATTGTAAGAGGTCGAGGGAAAATTTGTATTTTCGTAGTGCAGTTCCGATAACCCGATAACAGTCGGACAGAGTCCTTTTGTAGTACAGGTCCACTCGTTGGTCGACGAGCGCAGATAGGACTGCATTCGTTTCGACACTGTCAGACGCTTTTTCATAGTCGACAAAGGTTAGGACTAGAGGCGAGTGGTATTCTTGACAAACTTCGATGACCCTGGACACGGTTTGGATATGGTCCATGCAGCAAAGTCCTTTTCAAAATCCTGCTTGCTCGACTGGTTGCGCCTCATGCAATGTCCTTGATATGCACGAGAGGATAATCTTTGTGAAGAGCTAGCAGAGTACACGCAACAAGCATATGGAGCGGTAGTTACGAAGATCCCTTCGGTCTCCTTTCTTGGGCAGGATGACCGTGCGCGACGTCCTCCACTGATCTGAGATTTTTTCCTTTTTAAGGTAGGTTGTCATATGGTTTGCGAGAAGTACATGTAAATTGTGGCTTCTAACTCTAAGGAAGTCGGCAGTGATATTATCGGGTCCTAGAGCTCTACCTCTTTCCATGCTTTCTATCGAAACTCGAACCTCCGACAGAAGAATACCAGGTGGTTTTTTTTCCAGTGGAGATATTAGGATCTGATACGGGGATTGTGGAACGGAAAAGGTTTGCTTGGAACGTTTCCACTGTTAATTTCATATCATGGATGGAAGTTTTGACGATCCCATTCCCCTTCATCAGGGCTGACAGCGGAACATTATAATCACACAAGTCCCGACGGCATTTCTTCAGACTGCTTCTTTTTTCTGCTGCTTCCAGTATTTTCTTCTGCTTGTACCGTTGTAGAGCTTCCTGCAAACCTCTTTTGCATGTGGCATTTATTACTAGCCATGTTAAACGTGTTGCAGTAGGATCAAGCTTCAGTTTTCCTCTCTTTTCGAACAACTCCTTGGTAGTGATGGAGATACGATCCGATCTTCTTGCTTAAGGAACTGAGGCGAATTCGACACAGCTTTTCAGTCCATCTACAAGCAGCTCATAGTCTTCGGTCGGGTTTTCTTTAATCTGCCATTCACATTTGGATAGCGCTTCATTCAGAATGTTCTCGTAGTATACAGCTAGACATTTTCCTTGCGGTCGATGAAGGGAGTTCTTTTCTTGCTTGTGGCTGAATCGAATCTTCGCGGCAAAAAAAGTAGTGATTGGAACCAGTACAGAATGACGAGATTACTTATGTGTCTAGGCACCATCTTCTGTTTGTCAGAATATAGTCGATCTCCGTATGAGGCATGCCGTTGGGAGACATCCATGTCCAGCGGCGGTTTTTTTTCTTTTGGAAAACGAGTTTCCATTATTAATTACCCAAGTTTGAGGTGCACGATCTTTTTGATTTTTCAAAGACGTTCGTCTCCTTTCTTGTTTATCTACTGTGATCTCACATATGGCACGGATCGCAGCACTTTTTTATTGCTTCACTGTCTTGCATTCATCGTTTAATAAGGCCTTCGTGTATGTGTATTCTTCTGTCATCTGAGGACTCTGTCTTTTTTGCGAATGTTGTGCAATACTGATCGAGTTGATTCTTCTTGAAATCCTGAGATAGCTGTACTAGAGCGTTGGTATTCATTGGTATTCATTGGTATTCACTGCAGAGGATGATGCCGGATATACTAATCAGTGACAGCTTTTCCCAGACAAAGGAGCCTGGTATTACTTGTCGATATCGGAGGGGGCCTGTTTGGTAGAAACTGGGTCGAGGAAGCGAACATGGCTGTGTTCGTGTATGGCATCTTTAACCATGATGTTACCTTCTCATGAAAGCATTGCTTGTGATAAAAAGATGAATACACCGAAATTTTCTAGAAAGCAAGCCTTCAGCTCACTGCTCCAATCAAAATTTCACGTAACACTTTAGCGCCTATTTTTTTGCGCTAATGAAACTGTACTAACTTCATTACGATCATTACATATTGACTATACTGAGGTGTTAGAACTGGGATCTTTAAAAATTAGATAAACTTTAATAAGCTTTAGCCCATTCAACCTTGGTGTGTCCAAGTTTATCATAGTCGATAGCAGTCTTATGTGTTGTAGGTCCATTAATTTATCGATAAGTACTGATATCATAGGACGCTGTTCGTTTTAGTGCTTTTGAACGTCCTTTCGTAGTCTGCAAGGGTTATGATTAATGGTAGGTCGTAATCCTGATAGTTATGATCCTTAATGCTCGGTAGAAGAAGAGCAGAAACTGCTGAAAACGAAATGCATATGTTGAAATGCAGTTGGTCCACTAGAGCCCAGCACGTATGGATATTATACAATGCATCTAGGGCGTTGTATGAACCACTACCGATTAAAAAACACTTTAATTTATCAAATTGCACACTGAAAACTGCTTAACGACTTTCGTAAAGCTTTTGTCAAGTTATTACGTACCGACATTCATTCTCCAGTTTTGTAGGCGAGTATTCGTGTCTACGAATAGAACTGAAGTTGAATCGCGTTTTCTCATTCTTTCTTCTACAACTCTATATTCCCTCGTCGATGTTAGTAGGAGTGGCATGGGTATCGTACTGGATCGACTGGAAGAGCACAGCGGCACGTGTTCCTCTCTCTATCGTCACTTTACTCACCATGATCACTACCTCACATGGTCAGTTGAACATCAATGCGTTGACCTCAGTATCAGATCTTATGGTGTACTTTATCGTTTCAGCAATAAACTCGAACCTACCACCAGTATCGTATGCGAAATCGATTGATATCTGGGTTGGAGCATGTGTCGGTATGTCTACATCATGTGGAAAATCTCCTGAATTCACCTTAAAAAAGAATAAGGAGTATTTTGAACATTATTATCAACCTTATGTAAGCTTATCAAAGAAAGAATAAGGAATGTCGTTTCATTCGGTCGTAGTTATTTTATTATGGCTGGGCTTATTCTGTGAACTCATTTGCCTCCTATAGTAAGTATTACGGAATTGAAAAGGAGTCTTTCGCATCGGATCTGACTCCGTCGAGAAGCAATTACTTAGGATTGAGCACCTTCTTTGAACTTTTTCCTAAATGAGGAAGACTATAATAATGTTGGTTTGCAAACATTTGGGTTTGAATTTTTTGAATAGAGAAATTTGCAAAGATTTTCGAGAAATTTCCATGATGACAATGGTTTTTTGCCAATGATCAACTATTGCAGTGTTCATATTTTTTTCTCTCATTGAATACGCCGTTGTTAACTACATGGGAATCATGGACGAGCATAGGTGAGTTTCGCAGAGAGGTACCTACTAAGACAGCAGTACAGCGAAAAACTCAAAAACGCAAACAGCAGTATGTCATAGGTGGTTAAATGTCTCGATATTAACGCGGGTAGCATAGTGGATAGGCGCGCTCTGCACTACACTCTGGACCGGTCGTCGATTGGATCACACAGCACTGGATAACCGAGCTCGCCATCTCTCTACGGTGGGCAGAATGGTGTCAGAGTTGTCCCTGGAGGATAAAAAACTGACTGATAGGTCACCGTAAGTCATTGTATAGACCAGATAGGCAATCAGTAATCTTGACAATACTATGAATGGAGTCGATTGCATGGCACATTCATTAGAGATTGATCAACACCGAATTGGACATATTGTTATATAGCCGTATCCTTACAATTAAGTGAACATTCTGAAGTATTAATGAAAACTATGTGCAAAACATACAGTAAAGAATAAAGGGTAAAGCTATTGGCATTAATCATTCTCTGGAGGATCAGCCATGAATTCGACTACATTAGGATCACAACGTTGCTGAGATATTTGCAAAACTCTGGACCGCAGGTGTCTATGGTGGGGAACGAACGCGCTATTATCCT